ATGAGCGTACGAAGCATCATTTGAGCGGTTTGATGTGCCCGCTCCGTCTGCCCGTCTGTCTGAGGATGTCGAGCCGAACTTGGTTTCATTGTTGTGCCGGACTCCTGCATGAGAGCAGTCCAAAACGCCGACATGAAACGAGTGTCGCGGTCGCTGACAATGTCTTCTGGTACACCGTAGCCACAAATCCAACCAGTGTGCAGTAGGCGTGCCAGCTCGGGAGCCATGGAGTAGTACTTGCAAGGGAGAAAACGCGCGTACTTACTCAATCGGTCCACAACCGTGAGGATGCCGTCGTGCCCGAGCCGGTCGCGAGGAAACGGACCGGTGACGTCCATGGCAATGGAGAGACCGGGTTCCCGTGGGATAGGCATCGGGTGTAACTCGCCGTAAGGATTGCGGTTGCGGGGCTTGCTGCGTCGGCAAACTTCGCAAGAGTCGCAATACCGAGTGACATCGGTAATGAGGTCGGGCCATCGGAATCGCTGTCGAAGCCGTGCAATAGTGCGGTTGACTCCGAAATGGCCGGTGAGTCGTGAATCATGGAGGCGAGTCCGAAGATGACGGTCGCGTGGGACACATAGTAAGTCCTTGCATCTCGAGTGGAGGAGCAAGTACCCGTCGGCAATGCGGTAATGGCTAGCCGGCGGGTGATCCGAAGATAGCTGTGCATAGAGCGTGCCGAAGTCCGGATCAGACTGATATGCCAGGATGAAGTGTCGCTGAAGCTCCTCGTCGAATGCGAAGGCATGATGTGTCATAGCGCAAAGATCGGGTCTTCGCGAGAGTGCATCTGCTGCGCGATTTGAGAGGCCGGGCAAATGTTTCGGTGTGAAGTCAAATTGGTCGATGAARTACATCCATCGTCCGATCGTGCTGCTCACCGTATCCTGCGTCTTGTAGTAAGTCAATGGATTGTTGTCCGTGACCCATGTGAACCTACGACGCCCAAGGAGAAAGTGTCGCCATCGCTTGAGAGCCATGACGAATGCGAGCAGCTCCTTCCTCGCATCATCAAGCGAGTTGATGGGAGGCACTTTGTGGCTGAAATACTCCACAGGGTGCCAGTCATCGCCGTCGTGCTGTTCCAAGACTGCCCCAATGCCATAGCCGGAAGCGTCCGTAGTCACTCGCGTCGGCAGGGTGGGGTCATAGATGCTAAGGACGGGTGCCATGAGCATAGCCGTCTTAAGTGCTTGGAATGACCGGCGTGCGGCATCATCGAATACGAATGGCACCTTTGGCGACTTTAACCTCGTCATTGGTGCAGCAATCCTCGAGTATCCGGTGATGAATCGCTGATAGTAGCCCGCCAATCCCATGAATGAACGAACGTCCGTGATGTTGGTGGGCTCGGGCCATACTCGTAGGGCCTCGATCTTGTCAGCAAGCGGACGGATGCCTTGCGGCGTCACATAGTGTCCCAAGTATTCCAGCTCCTGCTGTGCGAACTCGCACTTGTCGCGGTTTGCTTTGTACTTGGCTTGTCGTAGCCGCTTCAAAACGGTGCGCAGGTGTTCCACATGCTCGTTCAAACTCCGACTATACACCAAGATGTCGTCGAGGTAGATGAGTACAAACCGATCCAGCATGTGTCGGAACTCCGTTGTCATAGCCGCTTGGAAAGTGGTTGGGGCTTTCGTAAGGCCAAACAGCATGACCAGCCATTCAAAATGCCCATATCGTGTCTTAAACGCGGTCTTGTAGCGATCCTCCTTGCGAATCTCAAGTTGGTGGTACCCTGACTTGAGATCCAGCTTAGAGAAGAACAGGGCGCCGCCCAATCGCTCGAGAAGGTCGTCGATGCGTGGGAGAGGGCCGGCGTTCCTGATCGTCTGCGCGTTGAGCTTGCGATAATCGATGCACACCAACAGATCCTTGTTCTTCTTCCGGACGAAGAGGACAGGAGCACCGTATGGCGATGAGCTAGGCCGAATCCAACCTTTCTCTAGAAGTTCGTCGAGTTGTGCACGGAGCACACTTCTTCCTCGCTCATTCGGTAGTTGCAGCCGCGCGGAGGTACGGCCCCGTTCTCGACGATGATCTCGTGGCGGATGGGCCGATCCTGTACTACTCCATGCGGGCCTTCGAACACGTCGCTGTAAGCGTCGAGAAGCTCGGTGATGCGTGGATCCGAAGATGAGTCCGTCGATGAAGCGTCTCGGGGCGGGAGGGCGTRGAGAAAACATACCCCCATCTCCTCGATGTCGTCTCTGATGATGGATGCTCACATGCTTGCGGCGGATACCACGTGGCAGTTGATAGAAGGATGAGGAAGAGGCACCGTGCATGGAACTAGTACTCCGTTCCGATCACGAATGTGAACAGTGCATTTGAAGAAGTTCACCGGGTGATCCTCGCTTCGCAGCCATGACATGCCCAACATCATGTCAAATTTGGTGTCCAGAATGTCAAAGGACACCGCCTCACTTGCGTGAGGGGCAAAGTACACGGGGACGGCGTCAATGCACCGGTCGATTGACTTGTGCGTATGACCGTCTACCAACGTGACTTGCGTAGGCTGGGACTTCCTCCGGACACGTGGGCCAAGGCCGGCGCGTACCATGAAGTCCTGGCTGATGTAGTTGTGAGATGCTCCACAGTCGATCAAGGCATTGCAGGTCGCCTCTCCAATCTGAATGCGTATGTATAGCAATGGTGCGTCGATGTCGTCGTACCGTTGCGTCTTGAACTCGCGGTCAATCTTCGCGATGTACGCGAGAAGGTCGACAACCTCTGCTCTGGAGTCCATCAACGGAGCTGGTACTGCAGTGTGCAAGTAGTCCCGCAATTGTGCCATGAGCACATTGCAATGCGGTTTCGGCAATCGTTCGGCAATCGTTCGGCATCCACTGGAAGTCCGTGAACGTCAACGGGTCGAGCTCATCAAGTCTTGACCATGACGTCGAATCCCCGACGATAGATTGCGGCGAAGGTGCCGAATCGGTTGCCGATGGTGATGAAACCGTGCATGCGGTGGACTGTTGCACGTGGAGCGGCTGGTCCAGCGGTGGAACCAAGTAGACAGCATCGTAAGAGTATCGAGAACTTGCGACATTCGCGTCCTCCCCAGATGTGCAGGAGGCTGCTAGCAAGGCGGCCGAATCTGGCGGAGTGGAAGGTGGAGTCGCCTCACCTTCCGCGGAGCTCAGTTTCCCGAGCTGAGGCGGGGTCGCACATCCTCCTTGCCCTGATCCTGGCAAAGGGAGGTCTTGTGCTTGGTGTTGTTGCACCAATAGCAGCTGCCGTAGCGGCCGCGGACTTTGTACTCCGCCTCGGTCAAGCCGAACTTGACCCATGGAACTTGTACTGGTTGTCCATTTCCGGCCTGCGATGCGGATTTCGCCTTCCCATTGTTGCGGGACTTGTTGTTGCTTCGCGGCTGGACAACAGCCACCTGATCTCCGTCACTTGGTGCTGGAGTGGCTGCTGGGTTATCTCCACTGTCCTGCTGGACTGAAGCGAAGTGCTACTGTCGCGGACCAGTTCGTGCCTTCTCCACATAGGTCGGCTGCCATGTTGATTTCTCGTGTGCAGCTGACCTGTTGGTCTTGATGATCTCTCTCGCCTTGTTGATGATCTCTGCGGAAGTGTGGTACTGCTCGTGATCACCAAGTGCGAGGCTCAGAGCGGCGCATGACCTGTTGTAGAACTCACGGCGCAGATGCGGAAATGGCAAGTCCAGATCGGGCGTGGCCACGATCTTCTGCCAATCTGTGAGCCAGTCACGTATCGGTGTGCTCCCTTGAGCCATCGCAAAGATGCGGTTGATGGCGAGCGCGGGTGCGTCATCCACTATGAACCGCTTCTTCCATTCCTTTGCCATATCCGCCCAGGAGACCTTGTGCAGGTCTGAAACCTGGACGCCGTGGATGGTTGCCATGTGGCTGAGCCAGATCTGACATCCTCCCTTGGTGTTGATGAACAGAGCACTGATGAACAGATGATCAGGGACTCAGGGATCCCCAACTCCGTTGTAAATCCTTGCCACCAAACGACCGGGTCTTGATGTGTGTAGTCATCAAATTTCTCGATCCGGAACGTCGGCATCTTGTATGGCCTTGCCGAGCTATTGTTGTGGCTGTGGTCGGTCTGCTGTTGCTGACTGATCTTAGTGTCCAGCAACTCGAACCGCTGGCTGATGGTGGCCGGCTCTGTGAAGTCACTTATGTCTCCTAGCATTGCCACTACGTGGTCAACGCATTCCTCCAATTGGTGGCTAGAGGATGCACTGCTGGAAGCCCCAGCAGCTGGTCCTGGTACAGCCTGTTCCAGGTCCAGTACACGGGCGTCCAGTGCCCGTGTGGCATCCTCATGCTGAGTCTTACGGTTCCGCACAACCCGCTGAAGGTTTGCCAGCTCGGACTGCAGGTGGTTACATGTGCAAACCAGCCTGGTCACAAGCTTGGCCATGAACTCCTTATGCTTCTCTTCCGGTGTTGGTTCGTCGCCGTTCGGTTCAAAGTGCCAGAACTTGAATCTGTCGATGCTGTTGGCTTCATGTTGCAGCAGCAGATCCTGGGCTTCCTTGCGGCGAGCCTGGGTATCTGCGTCTGCTTCGGCCTGTAGCTGCAGCTTCTCTGCTGTTGCCACTTCAGCCTGTAGCTGGGCAGCCTTGACTGCCAGCTGGCGTTGTTCCTCAGCCTCGATTGCAGCGAGCTGAGCCTGGAAGCGCTTTTTGTAGTCGGCAATGGACTCATTGGCCAGTTGGCCTGACATGCCCAGAGCTGCGCCCGTCATGGTGGCGGGGTACTGCTGACGTGGCACTGTCTCTGACGTGGCACTGCTGACGTGGCACTGCTGACGTGGCACTGTGTCTGACTTGGCACTGTGTCTGCTGCGGCCGGAATCTGAAGACTACCGTCCTACTCTCCAACTGCCTACCCGTTCAGTGCCTGAAGCTCCTATGTACTATCACAGGTGCCTCCTGACTCGGGCGAGCAGTCCAGGAGGCTGCTCTTGCCAATAATGCCGAAGGGAGGCAGGGGCTGCAGCTGCAGCTGCAGCTCCTGCTCGTGCTCTTGCCAATAATGCCGAAGGGAGGCAGGGGCTGCAGCTGCAGCTCCTGCTCGTGCTCTTGCCAATAATGCCGAAGGGAGGCAGGGGCTGCAGCTGCAGCTCCTGCTCGTGCTCTTGCCAATAATGCCGAAGGGAGGCAGGGGCTGCAGCTGCAGCTCCTGCTCGTGCTAATGCCAATAATGCCGCAGGGAGGCAGGGGCTGCAGCTGCAGCTCCTGCTCGAGCTGGCGTGGGAACAGGCCAGAAATAGCCTGTTCCGAAACCCAGTTTTCGTGCCTGAATCTTAGGGCAGGACGAAACAAATGAGGGCCTAAAAATAGCCCAGGGCCTAAGAATAGCCCTCCGTTTCAGGCTGGAAAAACTCTGGGTCTGAAAGACCCAGAAATAGGCTGAAACGGAGTAGGGCCTGCAGGCCCTCGTTTTTCAGTTTTCAGGCTGAAACGACCGGGGCCTGTAGCTCCTAAGTTTTAGGCTTTAAGGCTGAATATCCGGGACGGGTCCTACAGGGCCCGTGTGGCTACGCAGTCTGCCACACACACACAAACTAAGATCCGAAAATAGGAGGGAGGCGGAATGGGCGGAGAAGAGTCAACGTGGCAGGTCGGAGAGAAGGGTGGGTGCAACGGGTTAGCGCAGCCGAGGAGTGGAGGAGGAAAAGAGATGCAGGGGGCAGGGGGAGAGGCTAGCAGAATAGGATAGCGGAGGAGCGGAGGAGCAACACTGCCGCGGGAGGGTAGGAGCAGAAGAGGGGGAACGAAGACGGGGGAGATGGGGAAGTGGTGGGGGGAGGGAGCGACGCGACTTACCTGGGTCTAACGTTCAGGTGTCGACAATCCTCCACCGCACCTCAATCAGGGCCCACCACAGCTCACGACCAACCACAGGTAAGAGGGAGAGGGGGAGAGAGAATGTGCGTGTGTGTTGTCATGCTCGCTATCCAACTCCACAGAGAAAGCATGACTGTGCCAGACTGTTTCGTCGGACTTCACCGACTTATCAGGAAGTTAAACCCAGACAGTCTGCCCAGGATGCATTTGACTGATGGATAATGACTCACCACGTCACCCAGAGTGAGCGCGGGTGTGTGTGTGTGTGTGTGTGCGTGTGTGAAAGAGAGCGTGCGCACGCATGAGAGAGAGAGTGTCCACGCCTTGCAGGGTGATCGACAACTGTATGCAGAGTGTACAAAACACAATGCGTGTTGATACACCACTTCTGCTTCACACTTGTCTGCAAATAGGAGTTGGTATCAATCCACAAGCTCATAGTTCATTTCTGCTCCTTCCTTTAGGAGATTCGCTTCACGTCCAGTGGCAGGAGGTTTTTCAATGTACTGTGAACATTGTGAAGACTGCTCCAACCACCAAACTGCGCCAAGCAAACCCACCTTGATATTCACAAACCAGTCGTTCATAAGTTTCGCCACCTCTTCGCTCTCAAACGATTCCACCTCCATCACATGACACCTGCAAAAGCATGCATGCGAAGAAAGAACCCACTCAATGCAAGCATGGAAATGTGCTTGGAAATGAGACACGAAACAATAGACAACTACAGGCCAATGAAATCAAGGATCCTACAATGGTCCAGGGGAAGGAGGAGAGGATTGGGGAGGAAAGGAAGGGGGACAAGGTGTGGAGAGCAAGGCGAGGGAGCACTGATCATCATTTGACTGGTGCTAAGCACTCATCAAGAGCGAAGCATTGAGCTGAAGAACACATCAAGAGCTCACTTTTCAGCGCTCAAATAGAATGGATGCTTGCACGTCCAGGTCCATAAAACAGAATAGCGGGCACTGCGAGGCAAAGAAAAAGGGGAGTGTTGGATATGTGGATGAAAGAGGGAAAACGCCATCACCCGAACACTGTTACTAAAGCTCTTAAATTCTTGTGAGCGCCTCTAATATGTGACATTACATTACATCAATTCGGTGACTTGCACGGCCACCCTCACAAAACCAACAAGAATCTTGACTAGATTCACACAGAGTCAGACTGAAGAGTGGATTGCCTTTTTGTGCCCTGAACACCAAAACTATGCAGAGCTCCAGAGCAGCGGTAACACACTCAACAAGTAAAGCCAGTGCCGCTACGCCCGCACAAATGGAAGGAAAAAAAAACATATCAATCAGATATCCCGGAATCTCTCTCTCTCTCTCTCTCTCTCTCTCTCTCTCTCTCTCTCTCTCTCTCTCTCTCTCTCTCTCTCTCAGGCTGCTGCAAAAATCAGCTTGAAAATAACCTCGGAGGAAGTGGTGCTTTA